CATGGCATCACAGCTTACAGCAACCTCCAAGCCTACTCCTGGGCTCAAGCGAGTCTCCTGCCTCCGCCTCCCAAGTAGCTGGGACCACAGGTGCCCGGCACAAGGCCCGGCTATTTTTTGTTGCAGCCATCATTGTTTTTGGCAGGTCCAGGCTCGATTCAAACCAGCCACCTTAGGTGTATGTGGCTGGCGCCTTAGCCGCTTGAGCCACAGGCGCCAAGCCAGTCATATATTTTTTTGAACAAAAGCATAGGATTATAGACACATGAATAATGTAAAGATGGCATTAGCCCTTGACCACTGGTGGTTTATTGTATGTGTACATTGTAGGGATGACACATGGCTCTGTTTTTCTCTCTCTTTGCAGCCAGTTGCCACTTCCACCTGTTCAGGGAAGAAAACACCCCGTGCCGGAAGGCATGGAGCCGAAAAGGAAAACCTGGAGCTCAATGGCAGTATCCTGAGCGGTGGGTACCCTGACTCGACCCCCCTCCAGCGCAACTTCAGCATTAATTCTGTTGCCAGCACCTATTCTGAGTTTGCGGTAATTTACCTTTCTAATATCTACCAGTCTCTGGGGGAGCACACAGTTGAGGCAGAGTAGATATCTTCCCAAGGGCACCCAGGCTTTTAGGCAGGGCAGTCACCTCAGAGGCTGAGAATCCCTTTCCTGACTTGACCATGGCGGGAGTGGGGATGGTTTAGGGTGGGGGTGCAGAAAAGAAGTTGGGAGCAGCATCTAGACATTTAACCTGGATCATTCCCTGGCTATAGGAGGTGACCCCGCTAATCACTGCCCTGGTGCTCTCTTGGTGGAGATCTTGGTAATTGTCTTAATTCTTTGTTCTTAGAAGGAACCATCCCTCTCTGACAGTGCTACTGTTGAACTTCAGGTCTGTGTATGGAAACACCTGTATGTCCGATGTCCTTTTCTTAAACTGATCTGCTGTCTTCATTCCCATCTGGGCATAGGGCTACACTAACCAATAATCTCAGCTATATTATCATAGAATCTTTTTTACAAAGAAAACAATTTCTGTCCTCAGCTCCAATAAAAAAGATCTGGTTTACATTCCAGCAGATTTACTAACCTGCTGACTAATGGGAAAACTTGTCCAGACTTGAATTGGATTCTCAGCCCCACCAAAAGTAAGGCACAGTATTTTAAAATTATGTTTTATGATAGAACATCTTCACTCTCCTAGCTGAAGTCAAACGCCTGTGATGTGCTGGAAAGAACAAGAGGCCCCATCATGTGGGGCAGGGAGCCCCAGCTGTGTGCCCCTCAATGAGGTCCTTGGCCTGTTTGCTGATTACATCCTGGAGTACATGCTTGACTAACCTCTCAGGGCTGACTTGCCAGCTCGCCATCTAAGTGGCCATGCTTATTTCCTTACCTTTGTCTATGTACTACAGCATCTGGAGGCACTGGAAGGAAGTGATGTGACCAGAATGCTCCTTACCTCCTGGTAGACTGCCCTGTGTCTCTCTCACTCTACCGCAATTCCTTCTACTTACAGTCTTTTCATTTTGACTTATGTTGTCTCTTCTCTCACTATCTTACAGTGAGCTGTGAGCTGTCCCTCCCTCACCCTTGGGGATGCCAAGCTAAAGCCTATGCTGCCTCCTCTCCTACTGTCACAGGGAAGGAGAGTAGGCTTGGCGCCTGTATCTCAATGGCTGAGGCACCAGCCACATACACCGGAGCTGGCGGGTTCGAACCCAGCCTGGGCCTGCCAAACAACAGTGACAACTACAACCAAAAAATAGCCGGGCATTGTGGCAGGCACCTGTAGTCCCAGCTACTAAGGAGGCTGAGACAAGACAATTGCTTGAGCCTAAGAGTTTGAGGTTGCTGTGAGCTGTGACGCCACTGCACTCTACTGAGGGTGACATAGTGAGACTATCTCAAAAGAAAAGAAGAAAATAAAGTTAAATAAATAAATAAACAGGGAAAGAGAGTAGATGGAACCATTGCCCGAGGCTATATCTCGTTTTAAACACTGAAACTAGCTTCATATTCTGGCACTTTTTTCAAATGCCATGACTCATGGTGGTTCTACCTGTAAGAGTGGCTATGCGTCAGTCTAGCTGGCTGACTGCTGGACCATGGGTCCACCTTCCTCTTCTGTGCTTGCTCATTTATGGCCTCAGCTATCCATGTGGGCTTGAGTCTGCTTGCCTGTCTTTCTGGCTATGCCTAGGCAGGCTTATCTGGGTTGGGTTACTGTGCCTGACAGACCACACTGAGCAGCACCAAAGCCAGTAAGCTAACCTCTGCTAATAACTGTCTTTCTTAACAGTCATTCATGCTTCATTTTCTGTCTCTGTACCATGTGCTCCAGCATGAGACCAAATCACCAGCAGGTTACAAGGCCCTCGGCCCCAGGGATTGGTAGATAAACAGTCTGGCCCATTGTTATATAAAGGGCTCAAAAAACCAAAGCTTGTTGTGTGACAGCTCTGAGGGTAGCTTTGTAAAGTATGGTTATGGCATCACTTAATAGCAGGGATGGGCTCTGAGAAGTGTGTCATTAGGCAATTTTGTCATCCTGCATGTCATAGATTGTACTTACACAAACCTAGATGGCATAGCCCACCACACACCTGGGCTGTGTGGCCCGTCACTCCTGGGCTACAATCCTGTGTAGTATATTACTGTGCTGATTACCATAGGCAGTTGTAACATAGCAGTAGATGTTGCAGCTAGATGTAGAAGAGGCACAGTAAAATACAGCATCACAGCCTAACAGGACACTGTCACAGATGTGGCCATCATTGATGGAAATGTCATTGACTAAAGAAACATCATGATGTGGCCTATAACTGTACAAGGGGATTTCTCTCCTGTGCCATTTCAGCAGAGTAGCTGGCTAAGCAAGGCTACAGGCAGGTGTGCACATGGGCTTGGTCTGTGACTGATGAAGTGGTGTTCAGAGCTCCTGACCTTGTGTCCCTAACACAGCCTGTGCTGGGACCCCTGTCTCAGAGACACTGCCCTCTCAGGACCTTTTGCTGACACTTAACCATGTGTAAGAGGGAGGGGCGTGCATGGTAGGGGCAGTGCTGCCACTGATGTTTGTTCTTTCTCAACAGCGAGAACTTTCAAAGGCTTCCAAATCTGACGCTGCTTCTCGAGTCCTCAATTCGACCAACATCCAGTCCTGAGAAGCCCTGAAGTCAACTAGCTGTGGCTTCCTGTGCCCAGACTGCACCTCATTATGTGGGGAGGGTGGCTTTAGCTTTTTAGCAGTTTAGGTGTGCTTGCAACCCTGGACAGCTTCCATAACCATGGGCCTAATTTGAAGACGCAGACGAGTAGTACAGATGAAAGTCCATCATAGATTTAGTGAGTCCTGAGAGACTTAGTTTTATTAAAACTCACATTAAAACTTAGTGCAAATTTTAGCATATGAGATCTAATTTCTTCCTCTACCCCTTAATTCTACTTGCTGAAACGTGATCAGGGGATTGTCTTATTTCACCATTGTGTAGGAAAATGGTTGACTGTGCCCATCCTTAGGGTATAGGACTTGAAGTAATTTGGGCTTATAATTAGTGATTAACTCCTTTTTTGTTTAGAGATGTTCAAGTAATGCTTAGCTGTGATAGCTTTGCTGTCACCTGAAGACCTGTCCACACCACACAGGACAGACAGTCTTCCTCTTGATGAGAACGTCAGTGTGTCAGAAGTTAAGATAGCCTGATCTGCCAAAGAGGTGACAGAGAGGATGAGAGCTCCTTTGTTAAATTGTATACAGTTCTGATAGATAGTGCAATGCCCTTTGTTGGGTGTATGTATGTACGAACACATATCTGTCTCTTCAGAGTTTGTCCCTGGGGCTTCCCCCCCCACAAACCCATCACCACCACCCAGCTCCATGCCCACTCTGCCTGAGTTCTACCCCTGCAGCTGCCAGCCAAGTCAGGAGGCTGTTTAGATGGGCTGGGACATTTCTCTTGTGGCGACCTGGAACTTTGCATGTTGTTCCTGCTTCTTTTTTACCTGTCAATCACTACTGCTCTTCCCAAAGCACTATTATTTATTCTTATTGTCTGCCTGCACCGATACTGCTGTCCGTATACTAAATGGTTCTCAAAAGCTTACCAGTGTGCACTTGGTCTATGTCGGGCATGCTGTTTATCCTGTTTTTTAAATATAAATTTATTTTTAAAAGTAAATTAAAATGTGTATACTTACATATCAGAAGGATGTACTGTGGTGTTTTCATTTTTCCCCCCATTGCTTTTTGGTTGGTTTTGTCTGTGATGAAAAGACATGCAATGTGATGAAAGGACATGCAAGAAGTTTTTAGTCAGGAGTGCGATTTTTACATTCTTTCACGCATTTCTAAATTAAGAATAACTTACTTTCAGAAAAATCTTTTTTGTGATATGTGATTTTTTAAAAACTATGTTACGATCATACATAATTTTAAAATTTGTGTATATTTTTTCTATTTTAATCCACATATGGAGTTGGCAAAAGCACCATTACCAATCACACACATACAGTTGTCATACGGTTTTATGTGTTTCTGAAGAGTTGTTGAAAGACAATCCCAAATTATAACTTAGCCTGGCTTAGGTAGTAAATAATTCAAAAGTTTAATTTGCCATTTCTTGACATTGACTTTTAAAAGCAGGACCTTATAGATTGTCTATAAAATAAGAGAAACGTTAAATATTCTTTATTTGATATTATACACAAACCACACTAAAATGCCTTTTAATAAATAAAAGGCAGCATTTTAGTAGATTCAGGGAAAATAGATTGGCATAATAAAGATCAAAAGTACAAAGTAAACATTGCTACCTTCTCTCCAGCCCTCACCTTTAACAGGCTAATGAACACCAATTAAAACATCAGTGAGTCTAGTTTGGTTCTGAGACAATGAGGGGATTTCCCCAATATTTAAATATATTCACATAATCAGTTATATAAATCTTAATATAAAACCAGTCTCCAACAGGCTTTGGGATGGCAATTGACTACCTTTGTGAAAAGGTAAACATCACTAATTAAATCTGAACATATCTTTAGAAATGGAAAACAGTGATAGCATTTACTGAACTGGAATCACTATCAAAATCCAAAAAACCGATCATATTCATTTAACCACAAGCCAGTCTCAAACCGGGACTGTCCAACAAAAATATTCTGTCATTCATGATCTGAATTCTGGTAAATAAGACCAATCAAATTATGGTACACATAAAAAAAAGCTGTGAGATATTTCTCTTTTGTAATAAATAAGGCAATGGCCAACTATTACTCATTTGTAGCTTTTTTGAGATAATCTATCAAGTCTGCCCTTTCTCCCTTCTTCTTAATGCCAGCAAAGATCATTTTTGTTCCAGGGATGTACTTCTTGGGATTCTCCAAATACTCCATCAGTGTATCCTCTCCCCAGGTTATGCCTTTGTTCTTATTGGCATCTGTGTAAGAGAAGCCAGCAGCCTGACCTGTCTTCCTCCCAAAGAGATCATGGAGATTTGGCCCAGTATTGTGCTTGCTTCCTTTTTCCACAGTATGGCACTGGGCACACTTCTGAACAAAAATCTTGCCTTTCTCAATATCACCCATATTTAATTCGCTCTTTGGTTGCTGACAGTACCAAAGTTGCGAGTTGGAAGCCAGACGTCCCGCTCACTCAGAAAAATCTTTGAGAGAATTAAACAGCCTAACTTGTGATCTATAAACAAGCTGAGGTAAATTAGAAAGCTTCTTGTTTCATTGCTATTTGTCATATTAATAAGAATAACTTGTGCAGGGTGAAGCTGCCTTTTTTTTTTGGAGACAGAACCTCAAGCTGTCTCCCTGGGTAGAGTACCGTTGCTCACAGCAACCTCCAACTCTTGGACTTGAGCGATTCTCCTGCCTCCACCTCCCAAGTAGCTGGGATTACAGGCGCCTGCCACAATGCCCAGCTATTTTTTTTTTTTTGGTTGCAGCCGTCGTTGTTATTTGGTGGGCCCAGGCTGGATTCAAACCTGCCAGCTCAGGTGTATGTGGCTGATGCCTTAGATGCTTGAGCCACAGGCGCTGAGCCGAGGCTGCCTTTTTTAACAGCTTAATTGAGGTATAGTTGACAGAAAATAAACTAGACCTATTTAAAATGTGTGCTTTGGTGACAAGTTACCGAACATAACCCCCACCCTCAAAAGTTTCCTTCTGCCCCTTTCTGATTCCTTCCTCCCATTCTCACAGCCATAGCACCATTAATCTGCTTTCTGTTGCTATGATAGATTAATTTGCATTTTCTACAGTTCTAGGTAACTATCATAGAGTCATATAGCATATGTTTTTGGTCTGGCTCTTTCACTATTTATTACATTATTTTGAGATTCACCAGTAGTTTATTCCTTTTTCTTGACAAGTCCTATTTCATGGTATGGACCAACTATAGCTTATTTACTTGCTATGTTTATTCACATGTGTGTTCTCGCCAGTTTTTGGCTACTAAAAGCTTTGTAAACATTCAAATACAAATCTTTGTGTAGATATATATTTTCTTTCAGGAAAATTCCTAGGAATGGAATGACTGGATCACATCTATGGTAGGTATGTTTAACTTGTAAAAACTGCCAAACTGTTTTCCAAAGTAGTTGTACTCCCCAGACTTGGGGGCTCATGCCTATAATACCAGCACTTTGGGAGGCCAAGGCAAGAGGATTTCTTGAGGCCAGAAGTTTGAGACCAATCTGACAACACAGCAAGACCTCATCTCTACAAAATATATTTGAAAAAAAGAAAAATTAGCCAAGGCACAATGGCTAACGCCTATAAATCACAAGCACTTTGGAGACTGAGGCAGGAAGACTGCTTGAGCTCGACAGTTTAAGACCAATCTTGAGCAAGAGTGAAACCCCCAACTCTACTAAAACTAGAAAAACTATCTGGGCGTTATGGTGGGTGCCTGTAGTCCCATCTACCTGGGAGCCTAAGGAAGAAGGATTCCTTGAGCCCAGATGTCTGAGACTATAGTGAACTATGATGGTGCCACTCCAACCTGGACTGTGCATTATGTGTGCTGTTTTTCTTTTGCACCAGTAATGCAGGTGGATTCCAGTTTTCCCATGTCTTCAGGACATTGGTACTATTGGTCTGTATAATTTTACCCATTCTACTGGGCATAAAGGGGGAGCTCACTGTGGCTTGAATTTGCAATTGTCTAATGACTAATGAAGTAGATCATCTTTTTATGCACTTATTTGCCATTCTGTTTATAGAGACATGGTCAGCCAGGCTAGAGTATGGTGATGTAATTAGCTCATTGCAGCCTTGAGCCTGGGCTGAAGCTACCCTCCTGCCTCAGGCTTCTAAGTAGTTGAGACTACCAGCCCAGCTGATTTTTATTTTTTTATCCAGCTAATTTTTTAGCTGGCATGAATGAATACCCATCAGTGAGTCATAGCTTTTTATTTATTTAGGTTTTAAGTACTCTCAGTATGACTTTGCAGTTCATGTGAACACATCTTTCATATCTTTATCAGTTTTATCCCCAAGTATTTCTTTTCTTTTCTTTTTTTTGAGACAGAGTCTCACTGTGTCATCCTTGGTAGAGTGCTCTGGCATCACAGCTCACGGCAACCTCAAACTCTCAGGCTTACGCAATTCTCTTGCCTTAGCCTCCCAAGTAGCTGGGACTACAGGTGCCTGCTACAACACCTGGATATTTTTGTTGTTGTAGTTGTCATTGTTTTAGTAGGCCCAGGCTGGGTTCGAACCCTCCAGCCCTGGTGTATGTGGCCAGCACCCTAACCCCAGAGCTATGGACACTGAGCCTATTTCATATTTCTTAATGCTATTATAAATGGTATTTTGCAATTTCTGATATTTTGCCTATACTATTTATAAAGTTCATATCCAATTTAAAATATTGGCTATATCACTATACAATCAATACAATTGATTCTTTTATACATTGACCTTATATTTTGAAACTTTGCTATATTCCTTATTTAAAAAAAGAAAAAGCTCTCCCAATCTTTACAGACTGGCTCTGAATTAGAGCTTTCTTCCAACATCTAATTAGGTTGTCTCCGGCTCTGCCTTAGGGATCACTTGCTTGAACAGAAGGCCATTAAAGGAGAAAGCTAAGTTATTCTCAGGCCTTTTCTGAGCATGTGTCCAGCCTTGGGTGTGTGCTATGGGCTTTTCTTTTTCTTTTCTTTGTTTTTTTTTTGAGACAGAGCCTCAAGATGTTGCCCTGGGCAAAGTGGTGTGGCATCACAGCTCACAGCAACCTCCAGTTCCTGGGCTAACGTGATTCTCCTGCCTCCTCCTCCCATGTAGCTGGGACTACAGGCACCCGCCACAAGGCCCGGCCATTTTTTGGTTGCAGCCGTCATTGTTGTTTGGCGGGCCCAGGCTGGATTCGAACCCATCAGCTCAGGTGTATGTGGCTGGTGCCTTAGCCACTTGAGCCACAGCGCCGAGCCTGCTATGGCCTTTTCAATTTCATGGCATACATGACAGCTTGTTAAGCACTCCCCTCCCCTCAATGTGTTTCGTTTACGGACTTTTCTGGGCTTTTTGGTCTGTCTACACTTTCAGATAAAGCTGCCAGCTCTGGGAACACTGAGGAGTGAAATAGAGGCAAGGCCTTGTCTGATCCTTCACGGAGCCACCCGATAGTTCTAAACCCACAACCACAACTCTCTGGACAAGAACCGGGTTGCTCCTCTGCCACCATCTGCGTGCACCAGAAAGACCAAGCTGTTGTCGTGTTTTTTTTTTTTTCATTCAAACAGAGTCTCACTTTGTCACCCACAGTAGAGTGTTTTGGTGTCAGCTCACAGCAACCTCAAACTCAAAGGCTCAAGTGATTTTCTTGCCTCAGCCACTCTACTAGCTGAGACTACAGGTGCCTACCACAATGCCTGTTTGTTTGTCTATTTGTCTGTTTGTTTGTTTGTTTTGTTTAGCAGGCCTGGGCAGGGTTCAAACCCACCAGCCCCAGAGCATGTAGCTGGCACCCTAACCACTGAACATGGGCACCCAGCCCAATCTGTTGTCTTCAAGGTGTCCCCCACTCAGGGGTGGAGACTGGTAAGCAGGTGATTTAAAAAACAATAGCAGTGGCTGGGCAAGGTGGCTCATGCCTGTAATCCTACCACTCTGGGAGGCTGAAGCGGGTA